TGTGTGTGTGTGTGTGTGTGTGTGTGTGTGTGTGTGTGTGTTCTAAGGAGTCAATTAGAATTGCTTAAAGGGACATAGGTGCATAGGTGATAAGTCATTTACAGCAGCATGGGTAGTCTACTGAAGAAAATATATCTCCCCAAAAACCATGAGCTGGGAAGGGGTGGGCATTATGAACCCCCTCCTCTTATAAATCTTAAGGCCAGTAATTAGCCATCTTACTTCAACCAATCTCAAACACTTAGAGATTTTTGTTCCTGAGAGAGTTTGACCCTGGATAACCTTCAACACACAGACTCTGCAAAACTCCTCAGAGGTCAAGTAGAGAACCTAAAATGCTGACTTTGCACAAATATAAAGGAAAAGAAACACACACACACACATACATGAGTGCACGTGCAGGTCACTGGGCTAGCCACTGTAGAAGAATCCATTCCAAGGGAAACCACAACATTATCTGAGCAGCAAAGGGGGAAAAATGGACAATTCTCACCTGCAGTGATGGCAGACCCCTTGGTGAAGATCTCAGTGTTTGAAACACTTGTGGTTTCCTGTGAGAAGGAGCTGGGTGTTGTTGAGGGGCATGTGGTTACTGCTGTAGTGAGGACAATGGTGGCCAGTGGTTGGGGTGGTGTTGCAGTTGTGAGGTCAGGAGTGGTCATGACTGTTGTTGGAAGCTCTTCTGTGGTAGTCAAGTAAGGAGTGGTGGTTGGCCGAATGGTGGTTGTTGGTCTTGTGGTGGTTGTTGGTCTTGTGGTGGTTGTTGGTTTGGGGGTTGTTGGGGCTGTAAGCAACAGAAAGTGCATCTGGCATCAAGTAGAGATGGGGAATTGGAAACACCACAAACACAACCCAGGATCTTTCCACTTTTGTTGGCCTCTCTTGGTCCACTGGCCTGGACCACTTACTACAGCTGAGTTTCTTGCCACATTTCTATCCTTTCTGGTCTATTTGTCACACTCTGGCTACAGAAATCTTATTAAAAATATCTATGCATGTCCATGTCCTCCTGAAAACTCCTCAGCAGTTCTCTTTGTCTATCAGATTAAGAAATAAAACAGAACCCGCTTAGGCCTCCTTGTTGCCCTGCAAGGTGCCACCCCCGCTTCTGTCATTCCAATCGTGTGTTGCTGGAAGAGAACCTTCTCGCTTTCCTCAGCCAACTCTCCTTTCTGTATTTCTTTCCCTGCACCCATGACCTTCTAGCTACAGCAATGTCTTCACCTGCTTTACCTCACCCTTACTCCAACTGCTGGTCCTCTTCAGCAGGCTAGCCCTTACCGAGTTTTCAGAGCTCAGCTAAAAGCTTTCCTCTCTGCAGTAACAAGTCTTCCCTGTTGTACGCCCTAATACTTGATCATCGTGGCATCTATTGTATTTTTACAACTACACATTTGTTTGTTTAACATTGATCAATGTCTGCTTCTCCCACCAAACTATCATATACAAGGAAACTAAGCATTTATTCTGTTCTGTGCCTTGAATCCGACACCTGTCACAGTGTCTGGTATTATACAAATAAATCCATGCATAAGAGAGCCCAGGAGTCACAGAGCACACCCCTAGTCCTAACTCTTGGAAGCCTAAGGCAGGAGAATCTCCAGTTCAAGATCAGCCTAAGCTACATAGTGAGACTCTATTTTAAAATACACAAAGTGATCCCTAGGTATGCAACTTTGGGTGAGAGTCACTTCATTAACATAGATTTTGGGTTCATTATTCACAGTTTTCTGTATGACTCTCACCCTCTCCAGGACATGCCAATTCCTATAGGCTTTAATGAAGCAAAAAGATACCATTTGTTCCACTCAGCTTGGAATTGATCCTGCAGAGTACTGAGATCAATAATGTTTTATAAACTAGCAACTAGTAAAGATAACACATAATAAAGAGATGACTCCTGTTGGAATAAGCTAATGTCAATAAACTTCTCTTTCCTCTTCTTTGATATCACAAATTTGCTGTAGAGTAAAATAAATATGCAAATATGCATGGGAGTTCACTAACTAAAATCATCCAGTTCCAAATTCAGAACATGAGAGCCATCTGAGCAGACTAAGAACATAGTCACCCATGTGGTAAAGGTGTTTATTGTTCATGTACTTCAGCCGTAAGTTCCATGTGGCCTGTTCTACACAGCCCAATCTTTAAGAGTACCTTCACATCCCAAAGTTTACCCAAAGCATCAATAGAAATGGAAAGAAAGAGAGCTTGAGAGCAGCCAGGGGTGATGCCAAATGCCCTTCTTCCTCTGCCAGGAATCACAAATCATTTGCTTGTAGGCTAAAATTGACCCATGGATATTATTCAGTTCACATGGTGATTTTTTTTCTTATTACGTGGAAATCAGTCAATATGGAAAAAAATATGAGTCACATAAAAATTGGGAGGTCAAAAAAAATGGGCCAAATTTCTGTAAGGTGAGGACAAGCCTCCATGCAGATAGATAGCACCTTCCATCATCAGCCTCTTTCATTTACCAGCTGGATCCCCTCATTCACTTCCATGGCTGTCCTGGCTGTGACTAGCATGTGGGTTTCCCTGCCCACACTCTGTGGCTCACCACTTGCAATCCAGCCTGCTCACCCTCTGCTCAGGTAAACTGCTTTTTCACCAGCACCCACTAAATGAATCTGTTACCACAAACCATGGGGCTCTTTCTCAGAGCTGAGCTCCATTCTTTCCTCACCTCTCCTCAGCTCCAGGCGCACAGTCTTCTTGACATCATTGAACCAGCCAGGCACCTCTATACGGCAGCAGTACACCCCACTGTCCTCTTGATTGGTGTTTGAGATGGTCAAGGACACATCGCCCCACCAGATACTCCCCTGAAGTGTGTATTTGAATGACTTCCTGGAGACGACTTTTGTTCCATCTGTGTGGAGAAGCTCCTGGTTGCACTTGGAATTGGGACATGCACCTTTGCCCCAGCACATGCTGTTGCGGTTCCTGGACCAGGATGAGTGCTGACAAGGCAAAGTCACCGACTGGCCCAAAAACCCTATTACTGTATCCTCTGAGGCAGCTGGTGCTGAGGGGAAGGAAGCGAGAAAGCTGTTATGCAGATGAAAATCTCTTGAATACACTTGAATACCATTTGTGTACAAATGGAGGCTTCCAGGGAGACAAGAGAGTCCTTTGTTCCTTTAGCACAAATGTTGCTGTGCTTGCCTGTTCTCCTGGGCACCTAAGTCCACAAGCTTCCATGTGACAGGTGGTCCGGAATTTCTAAATGTATCTCCACAGCAAGACCTTTCGAGCCAATTTCAACACTGCTCACCATTCTGTTAGTCAACTCCCAATGAAGAGGCCAGACCTTTTGGTCACATGTAGTCTTGCCCACATATTTCACCCAAAACCACCCCAAGCCTGTGCCTGCTCCCATCATCTCACTAAGCAGATATCACATGCTGCTGATTGAATGTCTCAGATGGGTTAACCAACCCAGACAGAATCCTGACAAGAAAGAATGCTGCTTAGGTAGACTCCATTTTCCTACTCCATGTTCAGAAATGGAGGTGGGACTTGCTCACTCTGGATCATCTGTTTGCTACTGGGTAATACAAAGTTAGGAAGAGTTTGTGGATATGCACTTCTTTACTGTTTAAAATGTAGTGTGGTGTGTGTGTGTGTGTGTGTGTGTGTGTGTGTGTGTGTGTGTGTGTGTCTGTGTCTGTGTCTGTGTGTCTCTGTGTGTAGTGAGTTGTATACATGCTACCATGAGTGTGTGATGCTCAGGGGGCGTTTATGAATTGGTTCCTCCCTCCTACTTTCACATTAGTTTTGGGGTTGAACAGAGGTCTTAGGCTTTAAAGCAGTACTTCTCAACCTGTGAGTCACAACCCCTTTGGGGGTCCCATATCATATATCCTGCATATTTGCATTATGATTCATAATATTAGCAAAAATATAATTTTGAAGTAGCAACAAAATAATTTTATGGTTGGGAGTCACCACAACATGAGGTACTGTGTTAAAGGGTCACAGCTTTAGGGAGGTTGAGAACACAGCTCTAGAGCATACACCTGTACCTGCTGAGCCACCTTGCTGGCCCTAACTTATTTATTCCTTTTTAACATTGTTTAATAATTTCACTCATGTGTATAATATATTTTTGATGAAATCTATTGTCTAGTCTTTCTCCTCCAATTTCTCCCCAATTGCCCCCACACCCTTCCAACTTCATGTGCTCCCTTGTTTAAAAACCTACGAGAGTCCACTTGGTGCTTCCAGTATGAGCATGCATGAAGGGTCAACTGCTAGGGCATGGGTAGCCTGTCAGGGCCACAGCCCTGAACAAACCAGACTGTCCCTCTCCTAGCAGTCATCAATTGCCAGCAGCTTCCCTACTAGGGGTGGGATTGATGACCAGCTTAACAGTCATGCTAGGCCTTTGCTGACCTGATCTTGTACAGGTCTTATGCACATGGTCACAGCTCCTGACTCACTCCTTTACTCTTTTCAAAGAAGATTTATGTGCTTTTATTTAATGTGGATGAGTGTGTTGTCTGTATGCATGTAAGCACACTGCATGTGTGCCTAGTGCCTACGGTAGCCAGAAGACAGTACCAGATCCCTTGGAACTGGAGTTTTGATTTGCTATAAGTTGTCATGCGGGTGCTGGGAATCAAACCCAGGTCCTCTGGAAGGAAGCAAGTGCTCTGAACTACTAGGTCATCTCTCTAGACTCCACTCATTATTCCTCTAATGGACAACTAATCATCATATATATTTATGGGGTACAATATAATGTTCTGAATTATGAGACATTAAAAATTATTAGCCAGGCAGTGGTGGCACATGCCTTTAATCCCAGCACTCGGGAGGCAGAGGCAGGTGGATCTCTGAGTTTGAGGCCAGCCTGGTCTCCAAAGCGAGTTCCAGGAAAGGCGCAAAGCTACACAGAGAAACCCTGTCTCGAAAAACGAAAAAAAAAAAAAATTATTTAGAAAATTTGAAATACCCATTATTACTCTGATTGTGTCTCTTTTGTGAAGTAAATAAACAAAACCATCGGGTCTTCTTATAGACACTGATGTATAAAAGCAGATGCCTAGAAAGTATCTGCCGAGGTAAACAGCAAGCTCATGGCACCAATGCCTCCATGATGAAAGGAAAGGACTGGAACTTGGCATGGCGGTCAAAAGGGATTTAACCTTTATAATGTTCTTCTCTTTTCACCCAAAAGTTTCCATATTACTCACCTAATAAAAAAATTACTATTCAAAAAAGGAAACAAGAAACTTAGTATGGCAGAAAAATCCCCACTGGAGTGACATTGTGAACGTCACTTTCCATCAGTGTGTGTTTTGGGGTTCTTGACGGAAAGCCACACTCTTCATTATCTCAAGGCACAGAGGGCAGGACTTGCCTCAAAAGGAGTTCCAAGGCCCATATGCCAAGAAACATCATGCAATTAACCTCATAGAATACCTAAAGGTTTGAGAATGAGGAACCACACACATTAGATGCAGAAACAGAATGAAAAAACGTTTCCTTCAGCTATGAAAGTGTCAGGGAGAAATGAAATCACAGCAACCATATCAGTTTCCCATGTGCAATGCTCCCAGATTACAAGTGCATGCGAACGCAGCCTCTCTGCCACTGCCAGCCTGTTCCTTCTCCAGCTGGTGACCTTTAGGCCTTTCCCCAATCCAAACCTCAGTTTTGCCGGATTGAAGATGTCATGGACCACCTCTTCTGAGACATCTACTTTTGATCTTTGGAAACTCTGAATGGTCACTGTCTTCTCAGTTGACCATTTAAGTAAAGACACATTAAAAAGAAATAAATCAGCCAGGCAGAGTGATACACACCTGTAATCCCTATACTCAGTAGGCAGAAGCAGGAGGCCTGCAAGCTTAAGGGAGCCCCTGCTACCTAGCAAGACTCTATGTCAAAATCAAACAGTTAAATAAGCAAACAGAGAGACCAGTTCACCAGATGCTGTCTGCTTGAAGGGAGGCTGGAACAGTTATGTCCCTGCCACAGATGGGACATAAGGACATAAACTCCAGCAATTTTTTTCTATAGTTTTACTATGTAACAAAAAAACTTCTTAGACAAGGTATTGGTTGTCCCAGTACTCAGGAGGGTGAGGCAGGAGAGTTCCAAGTTGAAGTCCAATCTGGGTTATACTGTCAGACACTGTCTCAAATAAATATAAGTAAATAAGTAAGTATGTAATAAATAAGTGCTTGGGTAAAATTCAAACAGAAGATGTGAAAACAGAGACTGCCTTCACTCCATGAATTGCTTCTGGAATGTCTATGTACTCACGACATCATGTACCAAGTTACAGGAGATGTAGCAGTCTCCACCCACGTTCTGGGTGGTACAGAGGATCTGAGGATAGAGGCAGTAGAGCTAACTAGCACTTTGTGTGGTGGCAAGTTCTCTAACACAGGAACCTCCATGATAAGAACTCAGCTGAAACCTCTGAAGCAGACTGGAAGCTGCAGGTAAATAGGAAAAGCTTTGTGACCTCCTCTATTCAAGAATGAGAGGAAGAGGGGGAGGCGGAGTGATGCAAGCCATATTCACAATGTCAGCATTAGTGACTGGGAGGGCTGCAGCTCGAAGCAGAGTGGTTGCTGGACACCTCAGGGTCTCTATCCAAACTGACTGTTCATCTGTGTCAGTCTGAATCTGCAAATAGTGTGACGAAGAGAAATCTCCATGTAGCTGGGCACAGGGACAGGCACCTGTAATCCTAATACTCAGGAGGCTGAAGCAGGAGGATTGTTGACTTCCAAGCAGCCTAGACTACACAGTGAGATCCAGTCTCAAAGAAACAGAGACAACGGCAGGGCATGGTGAGGCACGCCTTTAATCCCAACACTTCGGGGACAGAAACAGGAGAATCTATCTCTGTGAGTTCCAGAACAGGCAGAGTTACATAATATAGAGGAGACCTCATCTCAAAATATCAAAAGGGGGCAGGGTGGAGAGAAGAAGAAGAAAAGGAGAGAGAACTCATTATGAAGCCCCACTGCTAGCAAGACAAAATAAAATAGAAAACAAATAAAATCTCCTGAAAACAAGGGGAACGATAAGCATATTAGAAAGAAAAGAAGAAGAAGAAAAGCTCTTGGTAGAACAAAGCCCCTGCCTCTTGCTTTGTAAGGCCTGAGGATCAAATTTCTCACACCCTGCATTTGACACCTTGTTTCTTCTATGCCATCGCTTAAACTGTTATTTCTAACCCAAGCACAGATAAACTCACCCCTGGAACGCCAAATTAGTCCCTAGGGAAAAAATCCCTGTGTAACAAGGTAAGGACGATATCCTAGAAAAGTGTAAGTCTAGAAGGAGGCAGGTGTTCGTAGGACCCCCACCTTACAGTCTACCCTCCCTGGGGCCCAGAATGGAAGCCTCCGGAACACTTACTCAGATAAAGCCACCAGAGCTCTGTCACCAGCCAGAGAAGGAGAAGCTCCTTGGACATTTTGACAGGCGTCTGTGTGTCTGTCAAAACCCATGCCTTATATCACAATTACTGCTGACAGGGTGGGACACTGGACTTTCACTTCCTGTTCTGCCTCACAATCTTCCCGTTCCCTAATCCTGAATGACCTCCCTCGATCTGGGATGTGTGACCAAATGTGCTGAGCACTTTTCTTAGGGTGGCCAGTGTGTATGTGTAAATGCGGGGACGGACAGCATGGGTGCCAAAATGCTTCTCTGTCCTTTGTCCTGTGTGTGCCCGGTCATGTGTATGAGTGTGTGTCAACTACAGAAGCCACAGTGTTCCTCGTGGTGGCCGAAGCAAAGTTCAACTGGGATTTGACTCCACTCCCATTCTGGGTACTCATCATGAAGCTCTCAACCCCTTGCCTTCACAATGGAAAATAAAAAGTAGGATACTATCAGTCACTGAAAGATATATGCTACCTACACTGTCAGAGTTTATTAGAACAGGAAAGAAGATCTCTAGTAGAGGAAGCTCAACAGGGTGGTTCCAAAACAGGTCTGCCTTCAAGCAGACCCACAGCCCATCACTACCAACAGGGACGAACACAAAGCATAAGTTGGAAACTGAATGAGAGTTTCCTGGATGGGATGGTTTTGTAGTTCTTTGGGATTCTATAAACACAATGGCATACCCAACTCTACCTAAACAAGGCAGAGGAAAAATCAGGCCAACCCTCACCAACTGGACCAGAACTAAGACAAAACACAGGGGTGGGGTCCTAGAACAGAAAAAGTCCCTTAGGTTGGAGATGGCTCTGTGGTTAAGAGCACTTGCTGCTCTTGCAGAGGATCCAGCACCCACATGGCTGCTCATAACTGTCTGTAAATCCAATTCCAGGGAACCTAACACCCTCTTCTGGCTTCTTTGGATACCAGGCATGTGTGCAATGCACGTACATACATGCAAACAAACACTCATACATAAAAAAATAAAACTAAAAATTATTACTAAAATAAGAAAAAACTCACTATGTGAAAACAAAAGTCTAGTGAAAGAAGTCTAAATAAAGTTTGGACTTTTATCCATTGTGATGTTTCATTACTGATTTATTAATTATAATAAATATAAGAACCTAATGTATAATGTTAATAATAAACTGCCCAAGTATAAACCCAAAGGAATGCAAGTCAGCATACCACAGGGAGACTTGCACATCCATGTTTATTACAGAACTATTCACAACAGTCAAGATGGCTGTGGTGGTCTGAATCAGAATGAGCCCCTACACTCATGTGTTTGAACACTTGGTCCTCAGTTAGTGGAACTGTTTGGGAAGGATTAGGAGGTGTGGCCTTGTTGGAGGAGCTGTGTCACTGGGGGCAGGTTTTGAGATTCCAAAGACTCTGGCCATTCCCAGTATGTACTCTCTGCCATCTGCTTGTAGATGAAGATGTGAGCTCTCAGCTGTTCCTGACACCATGCCTTTGTTCTTCTACCATCATAAACTCTAACCCTCTGAAACCATGAGTGCCATTGAACACTTTCTAAGTTGTCCTGGCCATGGTGCTTTGTCACAGCAATAGAAAAGCAACTAAAACAATAGGCAACCAGCCTAGATGTCCACCAACAGGTGACTGGATAAAGGAAATGTGGTAGTCACACATATCAGAGTTTTATTCAGCTATAAAGAAGAGTGAAATACAAAATGGATAGAACTAGAGATCATCATGTAAAGTGAAATAAGGCCAACCAAACTGACAGATATGGCTTGGTGCTGTGACTTTTAGTGGAGAGCCATGAATAAATTTCTATTCACCCCAGAAAAAGCACAGTGACACCCCAAAGAAATCATTCTATCAAAGTCCACTTGGTTAACCAATGAATTTATTGGGGGTTGTCTATACCAGCAAGGATAAGAGATTATTAACTAGAGAATAGGCCTGACTTGTGGGCTCTTGCATCACCTAAACACCTTCCCCAGCATGGGTGAGGACTCTAATGCTATACCACTTGAGTCCTCCTCTTGTCGTCCCCCAAGAGCACACACAGGCTAGAGGCAGGAAAAGGTGGAATCCCAGGTGAGGGTCTGGTGACATTCCCTACTCACCCCCATGATGAAAGAAAGATAACAGCCCCATGGCCATTACCTCAGACCTGGCTATCACTGTGCTGTTTTGTTTCTTTGCAGTGACTGCAAGACCAAGGTCTTTTGTAGTTCATCACAACAGACATGGTAGCAATCGTTATATTAAGCATGGTGGAAGCGGCAGTGTTATAAAGTGCCTGTTTCCTCTAATACACAGAATCTACATGTATAAGTGTTTATATGAAAGTAGAATGGGGTCTGTAGGGAAAGGAAGGGGAGATATCTAAAGAAGTCAAGTGAGGGTAATGGCAAAGAAAGGAAAAGAGAGAGAAAGAAAGAAAGAAAGAAAGAAAGAAAGAAAGAAAGAAAGAAAGAAAGAAAGAAAGAAAGAAAGGAGGGAGGGAGGGAGGGAGGGAGGGAGGGATATCTGATGCCCTCTGCTGGTCTCTGTGGGCACTACATACACACGGGCCACAAACATACATGCAAGCAAAATACCTATATACACAAAATAAATAATAAATTTAAAAATAAGGCTATATAACTATTGTGCCACATTTTTAAAAAAGAAAAAAGAAGAGCAAATGCCACATTTCCTCTCATATGTAGAGTGTAGATTCAAGCATCTATTTTTAGATATATGTTTCACATACAAATATCTATTCTACTAAACATATAAATACATTATTAAATATACATTTAATGCCTATGTCGAAATATACATTTAAATGTGTATATACATTGAAAAAGGGGCACTATTTCAGCAGAGAAAGGGTACAGAAGACAGAAGGAAGGTGACAAGAAACGCAATTGGAAGGAGAATATGATACACATATATGAAAATGCCATAATTGAAACCCATTATTTTGTAAGCTACCTAAAAAAGATCAATATAAAGGGGGTTATATACGGGGTATTTAAAGGTTCTCTTTTGCTCTCTCTGTGATTCTTATATAAATCTAAAACTGCCCTCGTATACTTTATAAACTTTAATAAAAGTTTGCCGCACATATTCCTTTACTTAAGAAACACAAATGTGAGCAGACAGGATGCCTCAGAAGGTAAAGGTGCTTACAGCCAAGCCTGATTACATGAATTCGATCCTTGGAGCCCACATGGTGGAAGGAGAGCAGCAACTTCATCAAGTTGTCCTCTGACCTCCACACTCCTACCGAGGCATGTCCACTCCTCCAGTAAGTGTTTCTAGAAACGTTAAAGGAACACAATGTTAACAGCAATTTGGTGTCTGGAATGTCCCATGGACAGGCTTTGAGAAGCTTGCATCCTAAAGTCTCACGGCCAGTTTGAATTAAAGCACATTATGATTGACCGCCCACAGCTGTCCTGAGTGCTTTATGTCTTTACCACCATGATTCTTCACATCCGAAGATTTGCCTCTGGAGAACAGGTCCTTCCTTGTTTCCAGTAAACATGGCTCAAGTGCAGGTGATTTTGATTGTGGTCATGGTGATTGGCTCAATGCTAAATAAGTAACCCAAACTGAATTAATAATTGTGAGACAATTTGGGGGTCTTCTGAGAAGTTGGGTTTCTCCCTATTTTCCTCTTGATCTTTGATTTTTGAGGACATGGGTCTCAAATACATACTAACCACTGTGCCACCAGTTAGTAAAGCCTGGCTTATAGAGAACTGATCAAGCAAAAAGTGGGTGAAAAATAAAGCATGACTAGTCTGAGTCTGAGATTTAATTTAGGCTCCTGAAATAAGGATTTCAGTGAGCCAATAAATTCCCTTTAGAGCTAAGGCAATCTGTGATAGATTCTCTGTCCTTTGGGATTTTAGACCCAGAAAGGCCTTTGCACCAGATCCTCGACCTTCCAGACACTGCTGTCTTGCACATCAGGGCTCACTTCCCCTGCTGTCTCTCTCCCCTCTTGGTGCTGCCCGGAAGAAGGAATAGGCCGCTCATAATTCTCACCTGCCATCATCTCTCCTCTTGGTTCTGTGAAAAGTGTAGAAGAATGCCCAACCACCGCTGCTGCTGGCGCTTGAGACAACCTAACTGTAGTCACCAGCTCCATTCAACTCTCCAGTGTCTTTGTGACTCTTATCACATAGTCCGTGTCACATATGCCCATTGCACAGGTCACTTGTTAACTATCCAGTTTCTACATTGAGCAAGGATCAATGTTTGCCTTGGAAGCCTTTAAGAGTAGGTGTCCCACTTTGTCTGGTGGGGCTGAAAGCCCTCACTCTCTACAGGTCTTGATGCTATCTACAACACTAATAACGCTCAGGAAACCTCTCAGGCAAAGGGTGATCCATCTCCAGTTTTTTCTTTCTCTGTGTGTGTCTCTCTGTCTGTGTGTATGTGTGTCTTGCTGTCTCTGTATTTCTCTGTCTCCCACCTTTGTCTCTTCCTCCCTCTGCCTCTATCTCTGTGTAAGTGTGTGTGTGTGTGTGTGTGTGTGTGTGTGTGTGTGTGTGTGTGTGTGTGTAATCTTGGGAAACAAATGCAACTAAAGGATCTAATCTAAACATCTATGCTAAAGCATGATGTGTATAGCTAAGCCTCTGCTTGCACACTTCCTCCCAAGGCCATCTGTTCCACCTTCCACCAGACCTAGCTGCTAGAAAAATGGAAAGGGAACTCATACTCACTATACTATGGCTCTGTGCTCAACTCTGTCTTGTTTACATATAAACTCCAAAATAAACTTGTAAAGGGTGCAATGGCTTCTCCATTATACATACCTGGAAAGAGGGATTGAAAGAGTGGATGAATGGATTCATATTCCGAGCCACTAAGTGGAGGATACAACCAAGTAGAACAGTCAAGAGTGACTGTCGGGAATTTTGGCAAGGCTTGACCTTAACTCTGAACCTCATTTTTTTTTTTTAATCTGTAAGATACAAATGAATAATCTCTTCACCAGAGAACTGATTTGAAAATTGAATGAAATTACTGATGGGTAAGTTATGCTAAATCCTAAGGAACTGGAGAAATGTTATTATTT